CAGCCATATGAAAATGAGCACCCCACAAACACAGCAGAAGTGTCCAGTTTTGCCACATCAGTGGTCAAATTATCCACCTTAGGCAGCGGTGTCTGCATCAGGTCTTGTATGAATCAGAAGGCCAGAGGTACCAGACAATGTTGTGGTGTATCTTATAAATGTTGTTTTGGCATCACATACTCTATTTGTAAGTGTTTATCGTCATTTTCCAGCAATATGGGGAAGCTGAAAGACTGTAGCCCATATTCATAATTGATAGAATAGATATATACAGTACACTGCAGGTATACTCACATACATTGTGCACTTTGACTATGAGGTCATGACAGTCAAATAATCTAAGCATAAACAACCGAGAGCTATTAATTAAATGAATCACCCAGCTTTGCATGAAGCCACAACTCTGAAAACAGAAAACCACCAATGATGTAACAAATTAATCTTCAAAGGTGCTGAAACACTGTAATCTCAGAGCCACTAAGCAGGTTTCAGTGTGGAGGAGTGACAGCTCTAGACCCACCCTGAGATGGATTTCTTATCAAAGTAGGTCTTGACACCATTCTGCAATTCACTATAATCCAAGGACACGGGAAGAAAATAAGTGCTTTGGATGGAAAATAAAATGCAGGTTCAGCAGTGTACAGTATGTGTTGCACATCTCCATTATGAACTGGGGGTTTAGCTATGTAAAGATATAATTAATTTTCACTTTATGTCAATCTTGACATACCTTGAAACAGAACTAAATATAATTATATTGAATATTTTTGAGAATAATAAAATTATAACCCGGCAAACAGTATACAGTATGTTGTACAGTACTGGGAAGTTGTTGTCAAGTAGAATGTAGAATAAAGCAAGTCTATCTACAGTATCAAATGCAGCAAGTCAAGTCTATTTGAATTATCTGAAATGGATACAGTTTCAGAAGAAGATTACTATTGAACAGTTTTTTTTTCTGCATAAATTGAGTGAAAAGAAACGAACAATATAAACTGTCTAAAATGTTTACACAGCAGTGGACATATAATGTCCTTTTCATTTTGTTGCAGGAGTCTGCAATGTTGAATACTGTTTGAAATGAAACAGTCATCTCTATCTGCTTGGAACTAACACTCTGCATGTTGGATGTTGGAAGTGCTGATGGCAAAACTTCGACTTCAATTAGAAGTAAAGGAAATTGTGGTCACAGAAACCACTGTAGCAGCAGCAATAAACTGGAGTTCACCCAACTGTGATGCTTTGACTTCTTAAAATACAAAGGGAACCAATCTACAATCCAGAAACTCACGTGCAATCTCCATAAATGTAAATGTTTCCTGACAAAGAAATGTATTAATTCCATTCTCAGTATATTGAAATGCATAGGGGATCCCATGAAGTAGTAGTAGTAGTCAGAATTTTCAACTACTGGAAGTGCAAAGCTATAAAGTGTAGTATAGCTGTGGATTATTAAGATCACTTTATTGGCCATATACAATTTCTTGTATGACGAATTTGTCTTTTCGCAGACCCCAGCTTGGTATGTGAAAATGAGACACACAGACAGGGAGAGAAGCTTGGGATGCTTCAATGCTGCTAAGGTCAACCTTGTTTATTTAATCCGGAGACTGTGGGAATGTGAAAGCTGCCATGCTGAAGTTTTCTCCCTTGTGGTGACACAGGATGTGTCATGGTTTTTCTCACTAGTCTCCTCTGTTCTCTGACCTCCAGCACCACAGCCTGCTTTCTCCAAATGGTGTGTCATCCAGGTGGGGCTGCACATTGGTGGTGGAGAGGATCCCCATTACCTGTAAAGCACTTTGAGTGGAGTGTCCAGAAAAGCGCTATATACTGTAAGTGTAAGCAATTATTATTATTATTATTATTATTATTATTATTATTATTATCCCGACCTGAGCCTTGCTGACCAGCTGCCCCTGCTGGATACTGGCCAGAGAGCACCTCCCCGAATGAATCGTACAGGCATCCTCTCTATGTCCACTAGAGAATGTAAGTCATGAAAGTTTACTAGCACTGCTGGCAAATTGGTTGAGGATTCTGTGGCGTCCAAAGGCTTTCCAGGTGCTTTAAAAAGCACGGTTCGTTTCTCTGTCCAGCTTCCCTCTCTCTCAGTGCAGGACATTTTATCCATCCAGCCATTTCCTAATCCAGTGCAGGGTCTCGGTGGGGGAGCCAGAGCCTATCTCTCCAAACAAAGAACACAAGGGGAGATACACGCCGGACAGGACACCAGTCCATCACAGGCCACACACAGACACAAACACACTCACACCAGGGCCAATATTCCCAGAAGCCAATTAAGCCACTGTGCCCTCATGTTTTTGGACTGGAGCATCCAGAAGGAAACTGTGTTTGCATGGGAGGAACACACAAACTCCACACAGATACAGTAGCAACCCAGGTATTGGGCCCAGAACCTCAGTGCTGCAAAAAAGCAGTGCTAACAACACCCCACCATGCCACCCAACATCTGATCAAAACCCATTGAAACCAGCTCTAATCACAGACATAGCGAAAACGCAAAAAAAAACAACAACTAGTGCACAACGTCAGTTTAATAGCAACACACTCTTGCAGTTATGTTTCTTCAGTTCTTCTTCGGCTACTTTCAACTTGTAAGAAATAAAGGGTCCAGTTAATAAAATAGAAATTGAATGGAATAACTGGTTGAAGATAAAACAGAAACAGTGGACCTTTCCTTTCATGAGCATTGTGTCTGTAATCACCTCCACAGATGAAACAAGGCAGCCTATGATGACTTGATATACACTATCTTCCTGTGGCAAACAGAAATGCTGGAGCCAGAAAGTTAATGCGGAACTGGAAGATGTACATTCTTCTTCCACCATATGAAAAATGTTTTGCTGACATATTGTTTTGATATATACATTATTATAAATGACACCCTATAGGGTTGAAAGCCGAAATTTGTATTTTCTTCTCTCAAAATATATATACATGTTATTTAAGAGTTCTTCCAACAACAAGAGAGAATGTTCAGAATCCATCTGAACAAATGGTGCACAGGTATAAATGCTCCACATACTATGTACAGTACATTACTACTGTACGTACAGGACTGGCATGACCTTTCGATCTCCTTGTCCTACTCAAATATTATTTTTCTGCATCTTTCATTGCTTTTCTGCCCAAGACCTCTTCTTGATTAGTACAATGTTTTGAAGTTTGCCTTCCACTTACCGTGTGACTGTGTTATTTAGTATAACATTTTCTTTTTAGAATCTTTTTTATTAGATTTTTATAAAGTTTTCCTGTTCATTTTTGCAACAACCCTTGTTCAAATCAAGACCAAAGTTCAACCACCCTGCCAAATAAATGAATGAAGGTGATGAAATATATATTTTGAAAATGCAAAATCCAAGACATTTTTTACGAATCCTCATGAGTGAAATATACAAATGGAAACATTATTGATAATCTAACAAAACCAAAAGCCTGTCTTATGAATATCTTATCATGCAACTGCTTTTGTAGAACTATCCAAACATTGTCCATCCACCCACTGCCAAGAAAGCTCGTCTTGATGGGGGTAAAAATGTGAGACAAATGTCTTTTTTCAATTCAATTAAAAATACGATTGAAATGAATACAATTCATCTCCAGAGGGGCAATTTTAAGCAGCAAGCGGTGCCATATACAACACAAGACCAAAAAACAAACACAGCAAAAAACATTGCTAAGCAAAAAAGTATACATACAGTAGATACTGTATAACAGCAAACACAGAAGTAATTGAAAGTAACAGTGTGTAGTATTTGGGAAGATTTTAGGACATGCACATTTGTGTGTGTGTGTGTCGGGTGGGTGGCAGATCTACCCAATATATATCATGTTGATAAGACTTCTTCACAGTCATTGTTTGCATTCCAGACAGCCTCTGGAGCAAAGCCGAATTTTCTTCTGTTTGTCTTGCATTGTGGACAGCGAAAATGTC